GTTGTATCAGAGACCGTTGTTTTTTTTGATTGACAGATCGGGAGGGGGGAGGGGCACGGGTGGGTGGGTGGGGGGGGCATGGGGGGGCGGGGCTTAGTGGGTTTATGGGGGCGGGGCTTAGTGGGTTTATGGGGGCGGGGTCCCCCCCCCCACAGCGCCCCTCCCCCTCACCCCCTCCCCCCTCGTTATTCAAGACGCAACGCAGAACAAACGCGATCTGAGCTCCCCTCCACCATCTCCCACAACCCCCTCTGGTATGCAAATGAGGTGCATTAGCATAGCTAATTAAGACCGTGGGGGTGGTGGTGGTGGTGGTAATTGGGGGGCCAAAGAAATCCGCGGCAGCCAGGCGGACGTCACGGCCCCTACCCCCCCCCACACACACACACCACCTGACCGCAATGGGCCAATCAAAGAGGCCCCTCCTCCTCCTATCATATGCAAATGAGGCTAATTAAGACAGTGGTGGGGGAGGGGGGGGAGGGGTAATTGGGGCAGTGGGGGCGGCCAAAGAAATCCGCGGAAGCCAGGAGACGTCACGGCCCCTGCCCTCCCGCACACCACCTGACCGCAATGGGCCAATCAAAGAGCCCCCTCCTCCTCCTTCCCCCTATCATATGCAAATGAGGCTCATTAGCATAGCTAATTAAGACAGTGGGGGGGGGGGGGGGGGCGGGGGGGTGTGGTAGTCCTCTGGGTCTGGAGTGGTCGACCAAAAAAGAAATCTGCGGAAGCTCCCCCCACCACCCCCCCCAACCACCACCACCACCATCACGCAACTGAGCTTCCACGGATTTCTGCGGAATCAGAGAGTAAGAGAGGAGTAGAGAGAGAGATGGGAGGGAGATGGGAGAGAGATGAGAGAGAGATGGGAGAGAGAGAGATGAGAGATGAGAGAGAGATGGGAGAGAGATGGGAGGGAGATGAGAGAGAGATGGGAGAGAGACAGAGAGAGACAGAGAGATATGAGAGATGAGAGATGAAAGAGAGATGAGAGAGACAGAGAGATGGGAGAGAGATGAGAGAGAGAGATGAGAGAGAGAGAGATGGGAGAGAGATGGGAGATGAGATAGAGACAGAGAGATGGGAGATGAGAGAGAGAGAGATGAGAGAGAGAGATGAGAGAGAGATGAGAGAGACAGAGAGATGGGAGAGAGACTGAGAGATGGGAGATGAGATAGAGACAGAGAGATGGGAGATGAGAGAGAGATGAGAGAGATGAGAGAGATGAGAGAGAGATGGGAGATGAGATAGAGACAGAGAGAGAGAGACAGAGAGATATGAGAGAGATGAGAGATGGGAGAGAGATGGGAGAGAGATGAGAGAGAGACGAGAGAGATGAGACAGTGAGAGAGACAGAGAGAGACAGAGAGATGAGAGAGAGTGAGTGAGTACTTGAGAGAGACGAGAGAGAGACAGAGAGAGACGAGAGAGACAGAGAGAGAGACAGTGAGAGAGACAGAGAGATGAGAGAGTAAGTGAGTGAGTACTTGAGAGAGACGAGAGAGACAGAGAGAGACAGGGAGATGCGAGAGAGAGTAAGTGAGTACTTGAGAGAGACGAGAGAGACAGAGAGAGACGAGAGAGACGAGAGAGACAGAGAGATGCGAGAGAGAGTAAGTAAGTGAGTACTTGAGAGAGACGAGAGAGAGTAAGAAGTGAGTGAGACAGACAGAGTGAGGGAGACAGAGAGATGAGAGTAAGTGAGTGAGTACTTGAGAGAGACAGAGAGAGACAGGGAGATGCGAGAGAGAGTAAGTGAGTGAGTACTTGAGAGAGACGAGAGAGAGTAAGAAGTGAGTGAGAGAGACAGAGACCCAGTCCCACACAAAGTAACGAGAGAGCTAAAACACGACGAGTCACACCCCTCCTCCTGCTGTTGGCTCGTGGTGATGGTGGGGGGGGTTAGTGGGGGGGTGTGGGGGTTAGTGGGGGGGTGTGGGGGTTAGTGGGGGGGGAGGTTAGTGGGGGGTGGGAGACCCTCTGCATTTAAAAAGGACAGAGAAAGTGAGGGAGCTGATCATTACCCTGTGTGTGTGGTGATGGTGGTGATGGTGGTGAGCTCCTCACCCCAGCTCACCACCCAGCTCACTCACCCCGTACACTCACCCACAACAGCCTCGCAAGCTCACCACCAGCAGCACCACCACCAGCAGCACCACCACCACCACCAAACTCGCTCGCTTAACGCTGACGCACACGCCGACTCACACACACAGAGCCACACACTCACACACTCACACACACAGAGCCACACACACACTCACACACACTGACCCACACACTCACACACTGACCCACACACTCACACACTGACCCACACACTGACCCACACACTGACCCACTCACTCACACACACTCACACACACACTGACCCACACACTCACACACTCACACACTCACTGACCCACACACAGAGCCACACACTCACACACACTGACCCACACTCACTCACTCACACACACTGACACACACACTGACACACACACTGACACACACA